GAAAAAAATTTAAAATATATTTTTCAGTTTTAATTTTATTATTTATCTGTTTAAAGGCTCAAAATTTTACAAGTTCCAAAATTATGAGTTCGGAGGTTTATGTGTTTGGAAGTTTACGGGTTTAGAAATTATAAAGTTTACGGGTTCAAAATTCCGCAGTTTTGAATAGCAGTTCGAAAGTTTATGAAATTTGTGAGTCCGGAAGGTTGTTGGTTTGAAAGTTTATGGCTTCATGTTTATTATATCTAAACTATTTATGAATACTCTTGATAAGTCATTTTCCTTAATTTGCATACCAAACACCAGAAAATGAATAAGATTACTACTTGTTTTCCAAGAAAATATTTTCCATTATACCAAACACACCCTTAATTTTTTTTTCCTTTATGTCAAGGCAAAGAATGTAGAATACTAGTAGGTCAAACACGTCTAAAAAGAAGTAGCTGGGAATTGATCAATAATGACAGCCAAAGTTTGTGGAAATTACGTTTGAGACTTTAGTCCAAAGGGAAATTTGTTTGCTTTTACTACTAGAGCTAAAAGACAAAACCAACAAGTAAAAACAAATCTGATATCTTTATCTACGTCTCTTTAATAAATTAATGAGACTGTGGATTTTTATTGTGCATGTATCTCTATACAATAATGATTAAGAACAAGGATGTCCCTCAATAATAGAGAGACAATCTGATTTGTTTGAGATCATATTGAGCCCCAAAAACCTTAGATCCCTTATATTGTTGGTACACCAACAATGGTGCATCACGTGATTGTTCATGGGTTTTTCCAGAATTGTTTTCTATTTATATGTTCATTAATTAATCCTATTAATATAGGTTCGTGTCGAATACAACAACAACAATAAATCCAGTGAAATCTCATAAGTAGAGTCTGAAAAGGATAGTGCTTAAGCAGACTTTACCTATATCCTAAGAAGTTAGAGAACTTATTTTTGATAGTCCCTCAGCTCAACAGAGATTCGTGTCAAATAAATTTAATAGTAAAGCATTTTCTATTCAAAGATTTTTCTTGTT